CAGTGCAGATTTGGGATCTCGCGGTGTGTAAGCTGAAGGTTATGTGGAGGCTCATCAAGCTGGTGTACGAGACTTGCAGGTATCTGGTACTCGACTTGTGACGGCGGCGAATGATCGCGTTGTGAAGGTGTGGGATACGGCATTTCGTGGCACGGGAGGTACAGTGGAAGCCGTGCAGGAGCTGTGTGGACATGGTGGTCCTGCTCAATGTGTGAGTCTCGGAGGACCTGCAGATCCTACTATATGCACGGGTGCTGCTGATGGTCTGGTTCGAGTTTGGGACCTCCGATACGTGCAACGAGGCCCTCGATTAACTTTGCGTGGTCATACGGGCCCAGTGACGCGTCTGCAGCGTGACTTCACGAAACTTGTGTCAGCAGGAGAAGACGGATGGATTCGAGTGTGGGATATGCACTCGGGGTCGTGTCTGCGGGAGAAGAAGGTGCACTCGTCTGGGGTGACTTGCCTTGAAATGCGAGATTCACTTGTGTATTCTGGCTCATGGGATGGCTCGGTGCGAGTTTGGGATATTGAGAACGTCAATACTTCTGGTCAAGCAACGGGATAGATACATGTGTACATATTTTCTAGTTGGCCAAGTAATGATATGATTGGCTCACATGGATGGTCTACACGTACAACGATGTATTTTGACCTGGCCGATTGCAAGCATTGAACAATTTGTTCATCCGGAATGATGAAGAGGATGCGTGTCATGACTGTCGATAGAGGCATATCAAAGCGCATCGATTTTGAGGACAACGAGACTACAACTTTCCGTGACTTGGCAAAGCAAATGCTGGAGTCACGCGAGACTTATTTGTATGGGGTGGATGAGCTGACGCTCTATCTGGCGAAGCGAGATGGCAAATGGCTGCGAAGTGACTCTTATGACGTTGATCTGTTCGTGTGGGGTGAGTTTCCTGACTCCATACGGGCACTATTAACCGAGGAGAACAAGGTGGATCTCAGAGACCTCGCGTGCAACTTTGACTTTCGTCGCGCGGATTGTTTCCCGCATGATGAAATCCATATGATCCTGGATCCTCCAGAGCGGGTCAAGCGCCTGTATCGCCAGCATCGACAGGAAACCCAACATTTTAATGAGAGACTGCGCCGTGCAGGTAGAA